CGAAGCGCCGCCTACGCCACGCGCCATGCGCGCGTGCTCACGTGGATGCGCAGTGCCACGGCCGCGTCGGCGATCGCCTGCGCGCGCCACTTCGACAGCCCCCCGTGATAGGGGGGTTTGGGGGAGAAACCCTAAACCCTAAAAGGCTTCACTCTGGGTGGTCTGGGGCGGGAGTGCGACTAACCGTGGCGCGCGCGGCCTGGGCAGCGATCCCCCCCAACAACCTTGATGTGGGGGGGGGTCGCAGCCAGCGCGCGCTTGCGCCAATGCAGGCCCTAAACCCTAAACCCTAAACCCTAAACCCTAAACCCTAAACCCTAAACCCTAAACCCTAAACCCTAAACCCTAAACTGCAAGCCACGGGCGGTGCATCGTCAGAAGCCCGTGGCGCCTGGCCGAGCGATCAGCGAGTCCGCCCATGCGCGCACGCCGCACCGACGACGCGCGTAGCGCTGAGGAGGATGCGCTCCCCCGCGGGGATGCCTCGTGAGTTCTGAGAGATGAATAGAACCCTTAACCCAAAACCCAGCCGTTGGCTTCGCTGCGCGCGCCTACATCCCCTGGGGCTCCAAACCTATGAAAATACAGCATGCGGCGCTCTTTCGGCCGTCCGTGGGGCCGCAAACCATATGAAAATACAGTATGCGGCGTCCTTTCGGCTGGCGCACGTCCCAGGCGCTCCCAGGCGCTCCCAGGTGCTCCCAGGCGCTCCTAGGCGCTCCCCAGCGCTCCCAGGCGCTCCCAGGCGCTCCCAAGCGCTCCCAGGCGCTTCCAGGCGCTCCCAAGCGTTCCCAAGCGCTCCCCAGCGCTTCCAAGCGTTCCCAGGCGCTCCCAAGCGCTTCCCGGTGCTTTCGGCACGCTCCAAGGCGCTCCCAATGCACCCAGGCGCATGGCGCTCCCAGGCGCTCTCAGGCGCTCCCGGCAAGCTCCCAGGCGCTCCCGGCGCTCCCTGGCGCTCCCAAGCGCTCCCAGGTACTCCCAAGCGCTCCCTGCACGCTCCCAGGCGCTCCCAGCCTGCTCAGGCGCTCCCTCCGCGCTCCCATGAGCTTCCTGGCGCCTCCGAGCGCTCCAGGGCGCTCCGAAGCACTCCCAGGCGCTCCGGCGCGCTCCCGGGCGCTCCCGGCACGCTCCCAGCACGCTCCCAAGCGCTCCCCGGCGTTCCAAGGCGCTCCCAAGCTCCCACAGGTGGTCCCAAGCGCTCCCTGGCGTTCCCAAGCGCGCTTCAGCAGTCCAAGCGGTCCCATGGCGCCCCAAAGCGCTTTCATGCATTCGCAAGCACTCGGCAGCGCTCCCTGGCGGCGCTTCCCGGCGCTCCCCCGCAATGCAGGTGCTGCCGCAGCCATGCGCGCGCATCGTAGCGAGGGGGTGCCAGACCCACCCCCTCGCGCTCCCTCTCCAGCCATGCGACATTCGCGCCGATGGCGGCTGCGTCGACAATGCACTCGCTTCAGCGGGGGTGACGCCAACGGTCCTGCCCAATGGACAACCCACGGCCCGCGCTCGCGGTGCACTCTGCGTGTCCTGTCACGCTTCCAGACGCTCCCACGTGCTTCCATCCTGGGGAAACCTCGACGCGCTCTCTCAGCGCTCCCAGAAAGCTCTCCCAAGGTATTCCAAGAACTCTGTCATGGAGGTGCTGCAGCAGCCATGCACGCGCATCGTAGCGAGGGGGTGCCACACCCACCCCCTCGCGCTCCCCATTCCAGCCACGCGAAATTCGCGCCGAGGGCGGCAGCGTCGACAATGCAATCGCTTCAGCGGGGGTGACGCCAACGGTCAAGCCCAACGGGCAATTCACGGCTCGCGCTCGCGGTGCACTCTGCGTGTCCTGTCGCGCTCCCGGCGCTCCCACGTGCTTCCATCCTGGGGAAAGGTCGAGGCGCTCCCCCAGCGCTCCCAGAGAGCTCCCCCAAGGCATTCCAGGGGGTCTGCCATGGACGTGCTGCCGCAGCCATGCGCGCGCATCGTAGCGAGGGGGTGCCACACCCACCCCCTCGCGCTCCTCCTCCTGCCTGCTGCCGCAGCCATGCGCGCGCATCGTAGCGAGGGGGTGCCAGACCCACCCCCTCGCGCTCCCTCTCCAGCCTGCGACATTCGCGCCGAAGGCGGCTGCGTCGACAATGCAATCGCTTCAGCGGGGGCGACGCCAACGGTCCTGCCCAATGGACAACCCACGGCCCGCACTCGCGGTGCACTCTGCGTGTCCTGTCACGCTCCCAGACGCTCCCGCGTGCTTCCATCCTGGGGAAACCTCGAGGCGCTCTCTCAGCGCTCCCAGAGAGCTCCCCCAAGGCATTCCAAGATCTGCCATGGAGGTGCTGCAGCAGCCATGCACGCGCATCGTAGCGAGGGGGTGCCACACCCACCGCCTCGCGCTCCCTCTTCCAGCCATGCGAAATTCGCGCCGAAGGCGGCTGCGTCGACAATGCAATCGCTCTTCAGCAGGGGCGACGCCAACGGTCTTGCCCAGCGGGCAATTCACGGCTCGCGCTCGCGGTGCACTTTGCGTGTCCTGTCGCGCTCCCAGACGCTCCCACGTGCCTCCATCCTGGGGAAAGGTCGAGGCGCTCCCCCAGCGCTCCCAGAGAGCTCCCCCAAGGCATTCCAGGGGGTCTGCCATGGACGTGCTGCCGCCGCCATGCGCGCGCATCGTATCGAGGGGGTGCCAGACCCACCCCCTCGCGCTCCCCCTCCCGCCTTCCGAAGCCCGCGTCGACAGCGTCTGCGTCGATGATTGCAATCGCTTCTGCGGGGGCGACCTCAAAGCAAAACCCAAAGCCGCGGGCGAATACACTGCCGTGCGCGTCGCCGTCAGCGAGGAGCCCGACGGCGCGGCTACTCGCTCGAGGCCATCGGGGGCCCATGGGTTGCCGCGCCAGCGCCCTCGCAGTGCTGCTTTCCAACGCCGAAGCACATGCGGACCCCTGTGGATGTGCTGCGCCAGCGGCAGCCGTCTACGACGGCGGCTGCAAGGGCAGCCAGGCCAACGGCAAAAGCCAATGCAGGAGGCCTACTGGAACCAGGGGCAATGCTGCGTCTGCGACAGGCCAACGCCGTAACTCAAAACCTCATGCGGCGACGCCTGGCCTTGAGGCCTCTCCTGTGCCTTCTGATTGCAATGAACACCCGCAGGAGAAGAATCCGTCCTTCGGCAAAGCCATGCGCCAACTGGGAGCCAGCCGAATGCAGCTAAACCCACGGCAAAGATTGTTGGCCATGCGACGACGCTGGCTCTTGCGCCTGCGCAAAGCGCTTTGCGCGCGTACCAAGAACGCAATGCCAAAACCGCGTCGTCGTGCTCCCCGCGGAATATTCGCATTCGCACACAACACGAAAGCCCCCCTTGATAGGGGGGTTGGGGGGAGAAACCCTAAACCCTAAAGGGCTTTACTGTGGGTGGTCTGGGGCGGGAGTGCAAGTTCATAGCGCGCGCGGCTTGGGCAGCGATCCCCCCCAACACCCTTGATGTGGGGGGGATCGCAGCCAGCGCGCGCATGCGCCAATGCAGGCCCTAAACCCTAAACCCTAAACCCTAAACCCTAAACCCTAAACCCTAAACCCTAAACCCTAAACCCTAAACTGCAAGCCGCGGGCGGTGCATCGTCAGAAGCCCGTGGCGCCTGGCCGAGCGATCAGCGAGTCCGCCCATGCGCGCACGCCGCACCGACAAAGCGCGTAGCGCTGAGGAGGATGCGCTCCCCCGCGGGGATGCCTCGTGAGTTCTGAAAGATGAATAGAACCCTTAACCCTAGGCCCAGCCAAAGGCTTCGCTGCGCGCGCCTACATCCCCTGGGGCTCCAAACCTATGAAAATACAGCATGCGGCGCTCTTTCGGCCGTCCGTGGGGCCGCAAAACATATGAAAATACAGTATGCGGCGTCCTTTCGGCTGGCGCACGTCCCAGGCGCTCCCAGGCGCTACCAGGCGCTACCAGGCGCTTCCTAGTGGGCTCCCCCCAGCGATCCCAGGGCGCGTCCAAGCGCTCCAAAGCGCGTCCCAAGCGCCATCACCTGGGGCTCGAAATTCGAAAACCTATGAAAATACAGATGAAAACATGTCCATGTCCGTCCAGTTGGGGCCGACATGACATCATGAAAATACAGTATGCGGCGTCCTTTCGGCTGGCGCACGTCCCAGGCGCTCCCAAGCGCTCCCAGGCGCTCCCAAGCGCTCCTGGGCGCTCCCCAGGGCTCCCAGGCGCTCCCAAGCGCTCCCAAGCGCCTCCCAGGCGCTCCCAGGCGCCCCCAAGCGTTCCCAAGCACTCCCCAGCGCTCCCAAGCGTTCCCAGGCGCTCCCAAGCGCTCCCCGGCGCTTTCGGCACGCTCCCAAGCGCTCCCAGGCGCATGGCGCTCCCAGGCGCTCTCAGGCGCTCCCGGCACGCTCCCAGGCGCTCCCCGGCGCTCTCTGGCGCTCCCAAGCGCTCCCAGGTAGGTCCCATCCCTTGGGGACTTTACATGTGAAAACACGCCTACGGCGGCCTCTCTGGCTGTGCTGGGGAGCGTAACGCACGTGGAAATACGCCCACGGCGGCCCCTTGGGCCTTCTTGGTGTGCCATGCAAAACGTTATGCCTGCGGCGGCTTCTTCGGCTATGCTTTGGTGCCTTGCTGGTGCATCTAGCAGAAAACCGCGACGCGAAACAAGAAAGAACACAGATGCGCCGAACGGCTCCGCGGACCCAAGTGATTCGCCCAAGACCTCGTAGAGCAAGCCCCGAGGAGTTCCAGGGGCCGGTTTCTCAAGTCCCACGGGGTTTCACGGGGGGGAGCGCGAGGGGCACGCGCCCGGCGCCCTCTCGCACTGCGCAATCCGCCGCGAAGGGCATCACACGACGCCTTCCGTGGCCATGTACGAGGGGGCGCCAGACCCGCCCCCTCGCGCTCCCCCTCCCCGCCGTTTCGAAACTCCAGGGGTGTCGAGAACGTCAGACAATCTCTACGTATGCCCTTCCTGCTGCTTTCCTTCCCTTCCCCGACGTGGCACTGACAGACCGTCATTTTCCTAGCAGGAGTGCGCACGGTCGTGCCTTTGCACGCGACAGCGGGGCAGGCGCACCGCGTGGATACTGCGAGAGGCGAGCGGTCGCGCGCCAGCCAACGCGCGGCGCTCCGTCGGCAATCTCAGAACGCGGGTATGAAGTTGTCGCGCTCCACGTAGCCGCCAATCAGGTAGTCGTCCGACGTCGCGACACGGCTGAGCGCTGTATACCCCGCTGCTGGCCGAGGCCATCCGTCCAGGTATATAGTGATGTGGGGGAACTCGTCGCCTTGCACTTTGTCGATGGTGCTGGCGTACCCGAGGCGGATTGGAAAGTAGACCGCGTTGCCCTTCTCGCGATCGGTCCAGCGAGTGATGGCCAGACGATGGCCAGTCTTCGTCATCACGCGCAGCATGTCTTCCTCGGCGTGGTAGTTCTCCACCTCGCACAGCATGCCGTTGACCTCGTCAGCTTCCTTGTTCTTGTTCTTCGTCAGGTACAACTTCATCCCCTTATAGATCGGCACTTTGCTTGGAACCAGCCTGCGGTCCGTGCGGAGCTTGCCATCCAGGTAGTTCTCGGGGTTCAGTTCCACGTCCCCGTCCAGCGTGGCCAGCGGGGTCTTGCGGCCGTACAGCGCAGCGACTGCCGCCTCGTTCACGGCCGCGGCGCCCCTGCGCGTGCAGGTGACGATCCGCGTGTCTGGGTGCTTCTCGAAGAGCTTCTTCATTTCGGCGGGCGTGGGATCGCCTCTGCTCTTCCACGCCTTGTGATCGCGCACAATCTTGCGGAACGTCTCCTTCGAAGGCTTGTCTGTCCGAAGCTCGTCCAGGATCTCCTGGAAGCGCTCCTCCTTGCACCGCCAGGTCTCGGTGAGCTTCACGTGGAAGCAGCGCGGCTGCTTCCATGCGGCACTCTCCCACGGACGTGTCGGCTCGACCCCCGGGAGCTGGTACTTGTCCCCGAGGAAGACCAGCGCGGGGACTTTCCCAGCGACGCTCCACAGCTTCAGGATGCGCTCGAAACTGTCGCAGCTCAGCAGCGATACCTCGTCCACCACTACCAAGTCGAAGTCCGTCATCCTGTGAAGACTCTCCGAGATGGGCTCATGCAACTTGAATGCGGCGTGGCACGTATCGATTGTTAGGCCGTCCAGGCCTTGCAGTGCTTGCTTCATGCGGCTGGACAGCTGCGCCGTCGGGAGGGCGAAGAGCACGCGCGCGCCTTGCTCCTGGGCGCGGCGAATGCAAGACTTCACCACGGTCGTTTTCCCCGTCCCAGGCTTCCCAAGGCAGATGACGGGCGTGTTCTTCTTGTAGGCTTCCTCGCGCGCCTCGTCCGCCTCCTCCCAGTCCTCCGACAGCTCCGCCCGCACGGCACGGTCCACGCGCTCGTTGATCGCCTCCTCCAGCTGCAACTGCTTCGGGTTGAAGTCGACCTCCTCCTGGCCCTCGCCGCGCGCTGGCCTGCGGTTGGCGATGACCGCGGCCTCGGCGTCGGCCGCGGCCTTCTCGTCGGCCTTGTCGATGATGCCCGTCAGGTACATGTTGATGAGCTTCCGCTGCCCCACGATCATGTGATGCACAGCCTCGGTGAACTTGCTGGACTTCGCGGAAGCGCTCATGTAGTCCACGAGCCGCCTGCCATCGGTGAACAAGTCATGGTGCTCTTCAGCGACGCGGCCCTGGTCGGAGCACAGTCGCAGCGCCGCCGCGAGATACTTGTATTTCTGCGGAACCAGGCGATTCACATCCTCGAACTCGAGCTCGCCGAGCGATCGGAACGGCACGTTCATTGCAGCCCACTGGCCGTAGTAGCGGTCGTTGAGCTCGTACACCGTGTCGACGCTGACCACCTTCTCGCCCTGCATGCGGTAGGCTCGCGCGAACTCCTTGAGGCTCGGAAAGTCGTCCTCGCCCTCGCTCTTTTCGTCTCTGTGCTTCTTCGCGAGGAACTCCTCGAAGGTCTTCGGCTGCTCCTCGTCTTCGGCGTCGGAGTCTTCGTCACTGTTCCCGCTACCTCCGCCATCAGCATCGGTCATGCCTTTGTACTCAGCGCGCAGGAAGCGCCAGTGAGCGTCGAGCGCCTGGGGCTCCTCGCCCTCGGGCACGGTCGCGCGGTACCGCCTGTACAGGGCCAGCACCAGCTCCTGCTTGTGCTTGCGCTTCAGCCATCCAGCGATGGCGCCGTCGTCAGTAGTCTTCCGAAGCCACTCCAGGAGCGTCATGCCCTCGTGGCGCCACGAGCAGTCAACATACCTCTGGACCCAGTCGGGCACATCCGCCATGCCCGAGTAAGGCGCCGTCACGGTGCGGAAGCCGCCGCTGACCGTAGAGATGTCGTACTGTCTGAATTGCGCCCCACACAGCTGCAGGATCATCTCTGGCTCGTAGGGGTGGTACTCGAAGCAGACGCGCCTGGCCACGCTGTCCGCGGAGGCCTTGTCGCTCATCCACTCGTCGTAGCTGCTGTCCGAGAACTTCGCCACATACTTGGACACGTATTGCAGGAGCATGGCCTCCCCGTCGCTGGTCTGCCAGTCCTGATGGCACGGGAGCCCGTCCATTACGTCAGCGCAGTACGCTCGGAGGCCCGCGTCGTGATCCTCCTCGGTGTGCTTCAGCTGGAGGACACCATCGTCGCCGTGCACCCCCGACGGGCCGTGGTAGATCGGCCACTTGCTCTCTGCGTCGCCGTGCTTGTTGAGCTGCGATCCGTCCACATAGCCCTTCAGGTCGTCCGAGAAGCCGTGGGGCTTGGTCGCAAAGAGGTGATGCTCCAATCCCATGTTCGACATGGCGTCGTCGTCCGCGAAGAAGAGGACGTGCAGGTGCGGTCGGCCAGAGCCGTCGTAGCGCTTCGTGCCCTCCTTGCGGCTGCCGTCCTGGAACTCCAGCCGCGTGAACGTCTGGACGCGAACCTGTTTGCCGTCGGCGTCTGTCGCGGCGAACACGTGCTTTGTCCAGCTGCGGCCGCTGCGGTCCATCTTCTGGTTGTTATTGCCCGCCAGCATGCCTCGGACGATCTGCATGAGCACATGCGACATGTGCAGCGTCTCCCCCACGGGGAGGTACATGCGGGTCCGCAGTGTCTTCTCCATCTCATCGCGCAGCCAGTCGTGGTACTTGAAGCACGGCTCCCACGGCGCAATGGTGAAGAACAGCTTCGGGAAGCCCACCTGGCGCACGAGGTCGACAAGGGCGTTGTGCACCTCCTTCCAGTAGAGCGGCGAGAAGGTATGGCCCTTCATGAGCATCCGCATCGGCACGTTGTCGAGGCCCAGGTTCTTCTTCGCACCGAGCGTCGCCCAGAGGTTCAGGTCGTACACGAACTGGAGCAGCTCGAAGTTGGATCCGTACCCAAGCAGCGGCGAGAGGCACTTGGTCATGAACGACCGCTTGACGCTGGTGCGCTGGCCTCCGCCGTCGCCGCCCTCGTCCTCCTCGGCGTCCGAGTCGTAGCCGTACTTTGCCTTCTTCTTCTTGGCCTCCTGGGCGTCGCGCCTCTCCTCGCGCCTCGCGTCGGACCACTGCTCGTGCGTCTCCGTCATCTCGGTGCACCAGTACAGGTTTGGCCAGAGAGCGCACTCCAGCCCGACCTCCTGCAGGAAATGATCTGGGCGCTTGCGCTTCCTGTCGGCAGCGTCCTCGCCATGCATGCGGAGGAACTTCTCGTGCATGTCGTGGAACCGCTTGTACGAGGACTCTTCGCAAGACAGCAGGTACTTGTAAGCCTTCTTCGCCGTCCGCCACGCGTCATCGTCCAGCTCCTTGATCTTGTCCTTGACGTGCCACTTCGAGAAATAGAACGTGATCATCTTCACCTTCTTGCGGTAGCCGTTCGGGCGGCCGAACGTGTCGGTGGAGCGCGTCTCGGGGCCGACGTCGATCTCGATGGGCCGGAGGGCTTCGACGATGTCCTCTGACAGGCCGCGGAGTGGCCCTGGTACGTCATCAGGCAGCGGGACGTACATCTCGCGAGAGGCGTTGCAGCGGCGACAGGCGCTCTTCGAGATCTCCTCGCTGGCATCCAGGAACATATCGATCTCGTGCATGGGCCGCGGCTGCAGGACATGGCACTCCTTGCAAATGCCCCAAGAGCCTTTGGCGGCCCAGGACCGCAGCCCCTTCGACAGATCACTGAAGCCTGCTTCGCCAATCGGCGGTTCCAAGTCCTTGCTCTTTGGGACCTCGTCGGCGCGACCGCGCAACTTTCGTTCGGCTTTGTCCTTGTAGAACGAGTTCTCGACCTTCTTCAAGTCCGCCAGGGCTAGCTTGCGGAACTTCTTGCGAGCTTCCTCGTCGACCGTCGGGCTCTCCATCACCAGCCGCCGTTTTGCCAGCTTCGTGGGCCAGTTCGTCTTGCCAGTGCGCCTTCGAGCTTTTGCCGCCTGCTGGTTCTGCCGGACAGTCTTCTTCTTTAGCTGTGCGAGGTAGTTGTCCCCGAAGACCTCCTTCAGGATTGCCTCGGCCTTGGCAAATACGGCCTTATCCTTCTCGCGGAATACCTTCAGCTGCGTCAGCAAGCCGTTGCGCTTCACGCCCTGCATGCCGCGCAGCCTCGGCGGGTCGCACCAACTGCACAGGTGCTTGTCTGCCTTCTTCACGTACGCGGGCTGCCCTGGGTTCGCCGTGCTGAAGGGGCACATGGCATCCCCTGCGCCGCGGCAGCAGTTGTGCGGCGTGACGATGACCTTATATTCCTGCGCGGTGAGGTGCCTGCGCAGCCGCCCCAGCGCCTTCTGCTTCAGCGCAGGGTTACGAGCTTCGAACTTCTTCAGGTCGGTCATGGCCTCCTTCTTCTTGGCGGGATTGCTTGCCGCCTCCTTCATGCGAGCAGGCGTGCACCAGAGGCACTTCCCGTCGAGGGCTCGAGCACGCTGTCCAGGATGCTCTCGGGAGAACAAGCAGACGCCCTCGTCCTCCTTGCTGCGGAGCCTGCGGCCCATGGCGCGCGCCAGGCTGTACCCCTCGCACAGGCGATGGCGTCTGCGCCCTGCGGCCGCGCCTTCGCCTTCCGCGAGTACTGGCGGCGGCTCCGCTGCAGCTGGTGGCCCTGCTGCGGCTGCTTCCTCGTCGGGCTCCATGGCAGCAGGAATCTCCTCCTCGGCGGCCTGCGAGACCACGTTGCCCTGGTCACCCTCGATTGGCGGCGGTGGCGGCACGCCCACCTGCGAGCGCTCCGAGATTATGCCGACAGCGCGGGCGATGAGCTGATCGCCACTCTCGTGCATCTTCAGCCGCTCCACGGCCATGTCGTAGATGCCGATGTCAAGCTCGTGCAGGTTCGCCAGGCTGTGCGCGGTCAGCTTGGACTGCTGCGGCGTCGCGCAGATGGTTGCCATGCGAATGGGAGAGCACCACTGACACTTCCCCTCGAACTTGCCCTGCGCGCGCTTGCCCTTCTCCCACGGATTGAAGCAGCACTCGATGACGATCCCGTCGTCGGTCGCAAAGCCAGAGCAGCGCCGAGGGCCCATCGCCGCGAGAGTGCGCTGAAGGTGGATGCGACGGCTGATGCCTGCCAACGATGGCTGCCAGGTGCGCGTGCCAAGCGGTGGCGAAATCAGGCTTGAGCCAAAGCGGCAACGGAACCAACGACATCGCGACTGATGTTGCGGTGAGCAAAGGCAGATCCCAAGGTTGCTGCAACTGACACGCCCCTGCCGGCTGCATGCCCGACGCCTGCCGTTGAGAACTGCACCGCCCATGCATCTCTCCATCCGTTTGAAACGCTCCCTGCTCCGAATGACTACTCCAGCACATCGCCAATACACCTGTCTCCACTGTCCTCTGCGAAAGATGTGTTCGGAAATGTTTCCTAGACCTGTGCGCGAGCAACTCGTCCCTGGCAACGCATGTTCATTTCAACAGTGTGCGAGGGGGAGCCAGACCCTCCCCCTCGCTCTCCCCCTTCCAACCTGCGAACACGTGCGCGTGTCATGCCATACAACGCACTCTCCAACACTGCCCGTGCGTCGCCTCTCCTCTCCCGAGTCCGTGAATGGCCAGAGCTGTGTGCAATTTGTCTTGCTCACACTGCATCGCCTATGGCAGAACCGTGCGACGACCGAAACAACGCCAATGCCTTCGGAGTTTCCGAAACTCTGACATGCTCTACGAGACACTGCTCCGGGACGCAAGTGCCCGCGGAATGCATCGCCGATGCGTCACGGCCAGCCGCGCGACACACAAAACCTTTCACCATGCTTCGGCGCTCTCACGCGCATCCCCGATGCATCGACGAGCTTCTGGACCACCGCGCCGGGGCAGGACCGAAGGCGCCGTCTGTGGCGTCCTTCAAAGATAGCTCGGAGATAGCGCCCAGGAGCCACGGCCAGCCGCGCGACACACAAAACCTTTCACCATGCTTCGGCGCCCTCACGCGCATCCCCGATGCATCGACGAGCTTCTGGACCACCGCGCCGGGGCAGGACCGAAGGCGCCGTCTGTGGCGTCCTTCAAAGATAGCTCGGAGATAGCGGTGACGAGCGCCCGAGGCACGCCTGGCGTGGGCAGCGGCCTCAGCGAGCGCAAAGGCTACAGCGAAGGCGCCGACTGTGGCGTCCTTCAAAGATAGCTCGGAGATAGCGCTCACGAGCGCCCGAGGCACGCCTGGCGTGGGTTGCGGCCGCAGCGGGCGCAAAGACTACAGCGAAGGCGCCGAGTGTGGCGTCCTTCAAAGATAGCTCGCAGATAGCGCTCAGGAGCGCCCGAGGCACGCCTGGCGTGGGTTGCGGCCGCAGCGGCCGCAAAGAGAACAGCGAAGGCGCCGAGTGTGGCGTCCTTCAAAGATAGCTCGCAGATAGCGCTCAGGAGCGCCCGAGGCACGCCTGGCGTGGGTTGCGGCCGCAGCGGGCGCAAAGGCTACATCGAAGGCGCCGACTGTGGCGTCCTTCAAAGATAGCTCGGAGATAGCGCTCAGGAGCGCCCGAGGCACGCCAGGCGTGGGTTGCGGCCGCAGCGGGCGCAAAGACTACAGCGAAGTCGCCGAGTGTTGCGTCCTTCAAAGATAGCTCGCAGATAGCGCTCAGGAGCGCCCGAGGCACGCCCGGCGTGGATTGCGGCCGCAGCAAGCGCAAAGGCTACACCGAAGGCGCCGACTGTGGCGTCCTTCAAAAATAGCTCGGAGATAGCGCTCAGGAGCGCCCGAGGCACGCCTGGCGTGGGCGGCGGCCGCAGCGGGCGCAAAGGCTACAGCGAAGGCGCCGACTGTGGCGTCCTTCAAAGATAGCTCGGAGATAGCGCTCACGAGCGCCCGAGGCACGCCAGGCGTGGGCGGCGGCCGCAGCGGGCGCAAAGGCTACAGCGAAGGCGCCGACTGTGGCGTCCTTCAAAGATAGCTCGGAGATAGCGCTCACGAGCGCCCGAGGCACGCCTGGCGTGGGCGGCGGCCGCAGCGGGCGCACAGGCTACAGCGAAGGCGCCGACTGTGGCGTCCTTCAAAGATAGCTCGGAGATAGCGCTCACGAGCGCCCGAGGCACGCCTGGCGTGGGCGGCGGCGGCCGCAGCGGGCGCAAAGGCTGGGCCGCGGCCGCAGCGGGCGCAAAGGCTACAGCGAAGGCGCCGACTGTGGCGTCCTTCAAAGATAGCTCGGAGATAGCGCTCACGAGCGCCCGAGGCACGCCTGGCGTGGGCGGCGGCCGCAGCGGCCGCAAAGGCTACAGCGAAGGCGCCGACTGTGGGGTCCTTCAAAGATAGATCGGAGATAGCGCTCCACGAGGCGCCCGAGGCACGCCTGGCGTGGGCGCGGCCGCAGCGGGCGCAAAGGCTACAGCGAAGGCGCCGACTGTGGCGTCCTTCAAAGATAGCTCGGAGATAGCGCTCACGAGCGCCCGCGGCACGCCTGGCGTGGGCGGCGGCCGCAGCGGGCGCAGAGGCTACGCCGAAGGCGCCGACTGTGGCGCCCTTCAAAGATAGCTCGGAGATAGCGCTCACGAGCGCCCGAGGCACGCCTGGCGTGGGTTGCGGCCGCAGCGGGGGCAAAGGCTACGCCGAAGGCGCCGACGGTGGCGTCCTTCAAAGATAGCTCGGAGATAGCGCTCACGAGCGCCCGAGGCACGCCTGGCGTGGGTTGCGGCCGCAGCGGCCGCAACGGCTACACCGAAGGCGCCGACGGTGGCGTCCTTCAAAGATAGCTCGGAGATAGCGCTCACGAGCGCCCGAGGCACGCCTGGCGTGGGTGGCGGCCGCAGCGGGCGCAAAGGCTACAGCGAAGGCGCCGACTGTGGCGTCCTTCAAAGATAGCTCGGAGATAGCGCTCACGAGCGCCCGCGGCACGCCTGGCGTGGGCGGCGGCCGCAGCGGGCGCAAAGGCTACAGCGAAGGCGCCGACTGTGGCGTCCTTCAAAGATAGCTCGGAGATAGCGCTCACGAGCGCCCGCGGCACGCCTGGCGTGGGCGGCGGCCGCAGCGGGCGCAGAGGCTACAGCGAAGGCGCCGACTGTGGCGTCCTTCAAAGATAGCTCGGAGATAGCGCTCACGAGCGCCCGAGGCACGCCTGGCGTGGGCGGCGGCCGCAGCGGGCGCAAAGGCTACAGCGAAGGCGCCGACTGTGGCGTCCTTCAAAGATAGCTCGGAGATAGCGCTCACGAGCGCCCGAGGCACGCCTGGCGTGGGCGGCGGCCGCAGCGGCGCAAAGGCTACAGCGAAGGCGCCGACTGTGGCGCCCTTCAAAGATAGCTCGGAGATAGCGCTGACGAGCGCCCGAGGCACGCCTGGCGTGGGCGCGGCCGCAGCGTGCGCAAAGGCTACAGCGAAGGCGCCGACTGTGGCGTCCTTCAAAGATAGCTCGGAGATAGCGCTCACGAGCGCCCGAGGCACGCCTGGCGTGGGCCGCGGCCGAAGCGGGCGCAAAGGCTACAGCGAAGGCGCCGACGGTGGCGTCCTTCAAAGATAGCTCGGAGATAGCGCTCACGACCGCCCGAGGCACGCCTGGCGTGGGCGGCGGCCGCAGCGGGCGCAAAGGCTAAAGCGAAGGCGCCGACGGTGGCGTCCTTCAAAAATAGCTCGGAGATAGCGCTCACGAGCGCCCGAGGCACGCCTGGCGTGGGCGGCGGCCGCGGCGAGCGCAAAGGCTACAGCGAAGGCGCCGACTGTGGCGTCCTTCAAAGATAGCTCGGAGATAGCGCTCACGAGCGCCCGAGGCACGCCTGGCGTGGGCGGCGGCCGCAGCGGGCGCAAAGGCTACAGCGAAGGCGCCGACTGTGGCGTCCTTCAAAGATAGCTCGGAGATAGCGCTCACGAGCGCCCGAGGCACGCCTGGCGTGGGCGGCGGCCGCAGCGGGCGCAAAGGCTACAGCGAAGGCGCCGACTGTGGCGTCCTTCAAAGATAGCTCGGAGATAGCGCTCACGAGCGCCCGAGGCACGCCTGGCGTGGGCGCGGCCGCAGCGGGCGCAAAGCTACAGCGAAGGCGCCGACTGTGGCGTCCTTCAAAGATAGCTCGGAGATAGCGCTCACGAGCGCCCGAGGCACGCCTGGCGTGGGCGGCGGCCGCAGCGGGCGCACAGGCTACAGCGAAGGCGCCGACTGTGGCGTCCTTCAAAGATAGCTCGGAGATAGCGCTCACGAGCGCCCGAGGCACGCCTGGCGTGGGCGGCGGCCGCAGCGGGCGCAAAGGCTACAGCGAAGGCGCCGACTGTGGCGTCCTTCAAAGATAGCTCGGAGATAGCGCTCACGAGCGCCCGAGGCACGCCTGGCGTGGGCCGCGGCCGCAGCGGGCGCCAAGGCTACACCGAAGGCGCCGACTGTGGCGTCCTTCAGAGATAGCTCGGAGATAGCGCTCACGAGCGCCCGAGGCACGCCTGGCGTGGGCCGCGGCCGCAGCGGGCGCAGAGGCTACAGCAAAAGCGCCGACTGTGGCGTCCTTCAAAGATAGCTCGGAGATAGCGCTCACGAGCGCCCGAGGCACGCCTGGCGTGGGCGGCGGCCGCGGCGGGCGCAAAGGCTACAGCGAAGGCGCCGACTGTGGCGTCCTTCAAAGATAGCTCGGAGATAGCGCTCACGAGCGCCCGAGGCACGCC